GCAGGAATGGTGGGAGGATGGAGAAAGAAAAAAAAGATCTAGTAGTCAGGCAAAAGCAGTATCTGGGGGAAAAAAATAGATCTGACAGCTTTGGGCAGGGCAAGGGTTGCTGACAGCCCTCAGGACTACAATGCACGCACCAGTTTTCAGGTTCTTTCACTATTACTGGCAAGGGTTGATACTACTGTAGATCATTGCTTCTGCCTTAGCATCTAAACATTTGACACTAAACCTAAACTGAAACAATTGTCAAACCACCATTTTTATACCACAACAATCAGTTGAACCACTCAGGGCATTTCCGAAGAGTTAAGAGGAGCGGCTGTCTCCTCCCTCCCCACTAAGTCACAAGAATATGCAGATAAAGATCACAAGAATGCACAATCCTTTGTCTAAAAAGGCTTTGGTAGAAACTGCTTCCACAAAACAACGGCAAAGATGTGACCCATTATACATGTCAATGAGCTGTTAACCTCGGTGCTTAGGTGTGACTGTTTAAAGAAAGCAACAACACAGTCCAGGAAACCCAAAGCTTCAGCTTCTGAGTTGCCCTGTCTCTAGAAAGCCGCGGTCACATTTCTCCTCAAATAAACCTGGAGCACATTGTTCAGCAAGGCAGGGGCAAACCACTCCTTTGAGAGCTAACATTGCCCACACTTCTACTTTGAAGGTAATCCACCCTTGGTACAAGAGGAATCATGAATACTGTTGAGCAAGACTCTTCAGTTCAAGCCTCCTACAGCACAGGACCACAGTTGCTGCTCCAGGAGCACCAACCCCTCCAAGACTGTGGCTTTGCTTTTAGCACATTGATCTCAGTAACAGAAACCACTCCACAGCAAATGCTGCAGCTGGCATAGCAAGGTTCAAATCATCTATTGCCATGACACTATCAGAGGAGAGCTGGAGGCCCCTTAACACCAATCTCAAAGGTGCTTCCCCATTGATGTCATCAGAAGGACTGTGTTCATATATACAGACAGTTAGCAGAGTGGCTAGAAAAGTGGTGCCTACCAACCTGGTGATTTAGTACCATGTGAACTCCATGGGTCCGAATATCTGTAGAAAACTCTCCCAAGAATTCCAGGATGTCCTCTATAGTAGCAGCATAGGGAAGACCACGCAAACGTATGCAGTCTCTGATGTTACTGGGAGGCACAAACTGTTGAGGTAATACTGGAAGAATAGGTGCTGCTGGGAGAGGAATGAGAGGTGTGGAAGAATACCTGTTCAGCACCTGCATAAAAGAGAACAGAGAGGTTACAGGAAGCCTCCTTACTCATTCTTCAACTCATTCTTCTAGCTAAGAATGTAACCCCAATGCCATCTGTTTTCACTCTGGGCACTACTTTAAGAAACAAGTGAGCTAGATTCTGAGCTTAAACCACAACAGCAGTACTTATAATTCAGATTTTTTAAGTAAATATTTGGTCAATTTTTCAAGAAAAATATAAACTATGTTTTGGAGAATTTACTTGACCTGTTAACATAACTCTCAGAAGATATCTTATACCTGTATTTCTACAGTATTTTTATTGTGAAAATGTCCTAAAACATTCTATCATCTACAGAGTCATGGAGATGCTTCTGTCTGAAAATATCTCCTCTGCAATGCTTTAGGACTAGAGTCTGGAAATTACAAGCATATTTCACTACCAAACAGCCCTGACCTGGAATGCAATAGTCCATTCACATAACATAGGTGGCTTTACTGAATCACAGTATCTGTGACAGTCACAGATTTGAGTTTCCTTGTTAATAATTTTAACAGTAAAAACCTTGTCTGGTGAAGAGTTTACTGAATATTCAATCACCATCCCAAATGTCTCTGAGTAAAGTTAAGATTCATTTACATTTATACAGCTATCAGAAGGTTTGACTAAACAAAGAAGCACACGAGACCACTTGAGAAAAATACAATGATAAGAGTGAGCATTGCAGCTCTGCCTTCTCATCCTTGGTGTCACCTTTCAAAACAAGGCACTGAAATCTCTTCTGTTTGGGAGAATAGGGCCGCACCATTCCTTGGTTACAAGGACATAACTATCGGTTGGCATCATAGATGACACCTTTTAGAATCATATTTAGAAGTTACTGACTGCAACTGTAGCTCTAAAAGTAGTTGGAAACTTAAACAATCTTCTCAGCTCTACTTCCTTTTCCCTGTCAGCAATACCTGCAGTTAATGGTCCATCAAGCCATGTTAACACTAGAGGGGACAACCTTCAGGCCGTTTCACAAGGTTCTGCCATCCTCTGCTAGGTAGCCAGTGCTGGCAGAAGATAGCAGAGATCTGCCCTCAGAGGCATTTCATAATACATTGCTCTGAAGAGGATGACTACATCAAAAGGCTCTGCTTTTCTTTGTCAGTGACTACAGATAAATCTTGATCTTTTGTTGCTAACACTCCCCCCAAATAAACCATCATTGGAATTAGTCAAATTCAGTATCTGTAGTGTAAAGTACTAGACCCATATCAACTTTCTGCTATAACTGCTGTTTGCAAGGCTATTGGAAGCCAAAACCCCAAAGGTTTGTATATATGATAGAGAACATCCATATACTATAAGATGTTACATTTTGAGGGAGCAAAGCCTCATAGAAACTCAGACAGCACTCATTCCAGCAAGAGTCAAGAGTGAGAGAAGATAAAAGAAACTTTCAAGTCATGGTCAAGCAGTATTTGCTTCCACTACTGCCAAGGAAGAAATCTGCATTACAAGAAGCCAATGCTAGCAAGGTTTATACCTATCTGCTGAACTTCTGCGGCGGTGCTCCTGAAAAGTTCAATGTACCTTTTCCCCAGCAAGTCCTTATGCTTTTTCAGTGCGTTTTGTGCATATTCCTCACAAGCAAACAAGACAAAGGCATCCCCTGTTGGCCTGCTGTCAGGGTACGTGACAAAGAGAACTCCCTCCTTTCCTCCTGTTACAGGGCAGTGCTGGCCAAAGAAAGCCAGCACTTCTTCTGTTGTTACATTGAAAGGAAGACCTCGCATCCTGACAATCACTTGGTTTTCTTTCGACAAGAACTGCGCAACCTCGTTGGAAGTGCCTTTAACAAGAAAAAGTACAGAAGTACTTAAGTCTAGGCAGATACGTAAAAATCATGAACAAGTCTGGCATAGCTACATCCTCCCCAGTCAGTTTGTGAGCTGGTAGAACAATATTTGCCTATAAAGTCAAGAAAGATGTCCCCTGATAAATTAGATATATTGTCTAGGATACTTCCCATCAATGCATAATAATGTTACTCTATGATTTAGAAGAGATTCATCTTTATTCAAAGGGAAAATAGGAAGTACATGCAATGGTCGAAGCCCAAGGAAAACAGGCTGTGAATCTCTTGTGTGAGCAGTACCTGTGCTACTGTGCTCCTTGCCTTTCTAACTCTGGAATACCTTCAGCATGCTCTGAAGCTATAATATATAGCAACCAAGTACCCAGATCATTGTGCTGGGAAAGAAAGTTGGAAGGGCATGTTGAAAACAGCTCAGGAATTTCATCCTATCCTGATAGAACTGACAAAGTCTGCCAATTCTACTTCCAGTATCTTTAGGAGAAGATCAGTGATACTTATAACACTACCCTAACCAAAGCTAGCTGCTAACCTGCTTCACATCTTAATTTAGTCCTTTCACTTACAGCTAAGTTGGATTGTACAAGACATGCACCAATGCACATTCACCAATGTCAATGTGCAATGTCCATGTCCTTACTTTGAATGGTATAATTATTACCAAGCCTATCAATTAGCTGTTTAATTGACAGCTAGACAACCTCTCTCACTCCAAACCTCAACCTCAGATACACAGTTAGTCACTTACAATCCCCAAATCAAATGTGTCAGGAATCAGCAAGGACCGTAATGTAGTATTGTAGATGCAACAGTTTATTGGATCTTAATTCAAATTCCGCATGCTTGCAGCCATAAAGGAGAGAAAGAGACCAAGGGAGAGTTTGTAGAGCAAATTTTGCAGGACTTTCAATTCATGACTGCAAATATTGTAATAGTCTCCTTAAACAAGCATTTCTCCTAAATCCCCATTTAAGTTTGAGGCAAAGATTTGAAGAAAATCGGTTCCATAAACCCCTTATATTTACAGTGTAATATGTTTGCTCTGAGGTGCAAGTCTCCACAGCAACAGCAGTCATAGTGTTTTGAAAAACTACTCTGATTTTGTTTTTCAGGAATCAATAACGTCTAGAACCCTACAGTTAGAAGATAAGCTAACCAATTAAGTTTGTATACAAGATCACTTTGCTTTATCAAATCCTCATTTGACAGGCTGCTTGAAAAAGCCAAAATGTGGAAGAGAAAGGTAGACAGATAAATCATGGACTATCTTGAACTGCTGCTAGCAGAGTACATATTTATCAATACACCGGCCAACTACTTGTTCAAAGAAAGAAAATGAAAGGCCACATTCAACAGGTGCAGTTTATAGCCAGAAGTCAGATGCTGAAAACCACCCTTTTGCATCCCCTAAAAATTACCTCCGGCAATTTTAAGGAAGTCTTCGCCTGTTGCCTTGTATACCTAAAGAAAGGAGAGAGAACATGTGACTGGCATGCTATTTGTATTCCTTTTGCACAGAGGATTTCAAAGCCTGTGTCACACACCTCAATGTATCGATTGCCCATGTGATGCTTGTGCCTTTGTAGCGCTAGATCTCTATGCTCTTCGCTTACGAACCTCACAAGAGCCTCCCCATTCCTCCTGCCTTGGGCATTGAGGCAGAGTGCAGCACCTCCCCTACGAAATTTAAATCAAAAGAGAGAAAACTCCATGACCAATGCAGCTGAAGCATTACAAATGTACAGGTAAATCCTTAGCTACTAACTTGGCAATATTTAGGCCTTTGAAGAATCTCGCTATGTCCTGGTCAGATGACTGCCATGGCAATCCTCTTGCTCGGATAACAGCGTTGTCATCCACAAGTTCCATCTTGCTGCTGCAGGCACAGAAAGCGGGAGTGATGCAGAGACATCTGCCTGTAGTATGTGCCACACACTACTCTCATTGCTTGTCATTTGTGCTCCAGGGCCAGGTTTCTGTCCCTGCTCCATGTCTGCTGGATGGCACTGTGGCTCAAGTGCCACTACCACCACCTAAAGCCACACCATAACTGAAAGCCACTGTACAGGTCTCTCCCAGGGAAAGCTCTGTTAAGCTGCTCATTTTTCATTTCCCCTTTCCTGCTTTACCACATTTGCTCCTTTAGCTCTCATATCTTTGATCATGTTCCCAATTTACTTCCTGCTCCCAACATCATTTGTGCTTCTCTGTTATCTGAACAGGGTTACTAGTGTATAAAAAAAAAAAATCAAATCAAATCAAGCACTTGCTATTCTAATCTAGCTATGTGGAAATTGAAGCAGAGAGATTAGATGTAACTGAGATTAGTGCTTATTATTTCTACTGTGACAGTGTGTAAAGCCAGTCACAAGCCAAGACCAAATCTGTTCAGGGCTATGCTCAGCACACACAGGACTCCTGACCAAAGAGTTGAGCCTTAACATTGCTTGTTCAGGCCATCACTGTGCTACTAGAGACTAATATAGCTAAAGGCTACATTAGCTGCTTAGCATGGGAATAGTTCAGCCACAGAAAGACAGGTTTAATTGGTCATTACCACAGTCTCTTTTGTTCTCTTACTTGTTAAAAGTGTCAAGTACAACAAAGCACTCACAGCTACCCAAGGCTGCCTTTCTGGCTATTGCAAGAACAGGTTTTTGCACAGAAGAGACTGTGATTGATTAAGCAGATCAAGTGTTGTTCAGTAGCAGAGGACTCCCTCGTACAAAAGGGCTGTTGCATGCCTTGTTATAGGACTGTCATGTTTCGCACTATTCTTTTAATGTCTCAGCTGGCCTTTCTGTAGATGTCTCTCCCAAATTGTTCCCCCTTGGCTCCTAATTCTGTACTTCTCACTATCTCAAATAAGATGGGAATCTTCCACCTCATCCCAGAACTTTGATAGTGAAAAAGAAAATGCTTAGAACAATGCTGAACCCCTGAGCTAATCTGGATATTTTCTGCCAATATCATTGCATTCTTTTCTTTCTTCTTTTGGCTCAAGTGTCAGCATCATCTACCATTATGACAGTTCCTTAACATGGAAAAGAGAAGAAAGTATTTGTGCAAGATGGGCATATAAATAAGGTCAGTTTAACATGAGTCTGCTGTGATATTGCACAGGAAGCATCCAGCAAACCACTAAAAAAAAAAAAATCTGTTTTTTGAATATAGAAAAAGCACAGTTATATTAAAAAAAAAATCCAACCAAACACAAAGCAGTCATCAAAAGCTGATAATGCTTTATGTTTAAAACATATTTGGGAATAAGACAATCATCATAGCTTAAGCAATTGACTGGTTGCACAGTATCTCTGGCACAGTATGTTTATGCAACTGTTTCTTCTTTATAAAAAAATAAATGCATGTGCAGTAACTGTGGAGCAAATTGCAGGAAGAGTCCAAGAATTAGTAGCAAGCAGTAGGGTTACTTCTGCAAAGCTGCATGCATTCTTTTTTAATAGCACAGCACACTTAGCACCCATTATAAGCACTTAGTAGCAGAACCCAGAACTATCAGCAGCTAAGAGACAACATTGAAGCCTAACAAGAAAACTGGCTTACATCTGATCAGAGTATCTGTTCCCTTTCCCACTTAAAGGAGCTAATCGATTCCCACAGCAGCAGCAAGATAATAAAAATAACAGTAACAGCTATTTGCAAATTAGGAATACAGAGAAGTACAGTTTATCTACACAGCAACGTTAAACAAAAAGTGGTGGGGGTTGAAGGACAGGCAGCAAGGAAAGAAAGTACTTACCAAGGCCCACTTTCAAATTTGTAGTTCACTCTTTCTGGGTCTGAAAATCGGTGATCTATGAAATACAGCAAAGTTATTTCCTATTTTGTCAGCATACTGGGCAGGCAGCAAAACCAAAGGAGGAACAGAAAAAACCCCTCATTCATCAAAATTACTTACTGTGTGGTTCAGATATTAGCGTTAAAATAATATTCCCCATATCTTCAACTTGAGAGGCTCCATAGGGAAATGCTGGACTGTTCTTGTCAAGATTTAAATCTTCATGCTGGAGTTAAGTCAATCATCACCAAACAGATTTCTAATTGACTTCCTGCTAGAGCAACACGCTTTCATGTTATCCTTAATGGCAAGTTGCTTCTCAGAGGAAGATTTAATCCATTTTCCTGCTGGGATACATTAACTGCTCTGCCTTGGCCTCTAACTACTGCCACCTGCGGGAGTGCGAGGTCACTCCAGAAAGTGTCTGGGGACATGAGGCCCCACAGCAAGGACATATATTTAATATGCCCATGAATTATGGATGTTTGACAGATACACTTCTGCATGTGGAACAAACGGGAGTCCTGTCCTCT